TACCTCCCCTTATGGTGCATCAATCCTATTTGTTTCAAAGAAGGGGGTTACGTTAAGGATGTGCATTGATTACAGGGGCCTCAATGCCATCAACGTTAAAAACGCGGATCCCCTACCCCGCATCGTCGACCTCTTGGATAGAGTGCAGGGATGCCGGTACTTAACAAAGATAGATTTAAAGTCCGGATACCATCAGATTGCTAGTAGACCTGAGGACCAGCACAAAACCGCCTTTCAGAGCAGGTACGGTCTGGAGTTTGTGGTGATGCCCTTTGGTCTGTGCAATGCTATTGAAACGTTCCAGCACGTGATGAACAGGATCTTTCATGACTACCTCGACAAGTTTATCGTCGTGTACCTCGACGATATCCTTATCTTTAGTAGGACTGGAGGAGGAGCACGCTGAGCACTTAAAAATAGTGCTTGGTCTCCTACGACAACACCAATACAAGGTCAACCTGGAGAAATGCGAGTTTGGTCACACCAAGGTTTTGTACCTGTGTCATGAAATTTTAGTGGATGGGTTGGGGTCGGATGATGACAAAGTGGCCAGCATACGGGACTGGCCTAGACCTCAAACTGTTACTGGGGTCCGGTCGTTTCTGGGGATGACGGGCTACTATCGTCCGTTTGTGAAGAACTATAGTACTATAGCTCCCCCACTAACAAACCTTACTCGACTTGACACCCCTTGGGAATGCACCGAAGAGAGTGAGGCAGCCTTCAAGAGACTGAAGTATGGCTTGACACGTTATGAAGTTGGTAAACTTTCGGATCCTGATCAGCCCTTTGTCGTGACCACTGATGTCAGCCAATATGGCATAGGCGCGTCCTTGTGCAAAAGGAGGGAAAAAAGTTGAGGCCCATAGAGTATATGAGCAAAAAGATGTCCACGTATGAGCGAGAGCTCTATGCCCTATATAGAGCGCTGGTCCATTGGAGGCGCTACCTCCAAGGCAGATTTTCTGGGCTCGAAAAGGTGGATTGAAGTCATAGATATCTACGACTTCAAGCTCGACCCTCTGAAAGGAGAGTACAATAAAGTGGCTGATGCACTATCGCGGAGGGCAGATTATCTAGGCGCGCTAATAACTGAGTTTGGCATATCTGATGATGTAACTCGATCCATGGTGGAAGCCTATCAGGAAGATATAGTTATGTCATATGTCATCCGTAAGTTAGAAGCTAAGGACAAAGTCACTTCTTAGAAGAAGGCCAGGAATAAAAGACTGTGTCCCAGATAGGGAGTCTTTGCGTAGTTTGTTTTTAGGTGAATGTCATGATGCAACTGGTCATTTTGGTTATAGAAAGACATCAGCTAACCTAGTACAGAATTTTGGTGGCCCTCTACGATGCAAGATGCGAAAAAGTACGTTTAGACTTGCCAGGTTTGCCAACGGGACAAACCCAGGAAATTCTGGTGGCCCTCTATGATGCAAGATGCAAAAAAGTACGTTTAGACTTGCCAGGTTTGCCAACGGGACAAACCCAGGACCCAGGCTCCACGTGGGCTCATCAAGCCCTTCCCTAGGTCCCGGTCGAAGTCTTTATGGACTTCATGGATACCCTTGTGACCAGCAGGAGCGGTAAGAGACACATCTTCGTCATAGTAGACCGATTTACCAAGTGTGCCAGACTGATCGCCATGCCAGAAACAACAAAAACTGACTATGTCATCGAGCTGTTTATGGATAACTGGGTACGGGACTTTGGGTTGCCCAAGTCCATTGTTAGCGACAGGGACGTCCGCTTCACCAACGAACTGTGGCAGAGTATTGCTCAACAGATGGGTACCCGACTGCAAATGACGTCAGGGAACCACCCTGAGTCAAATGGCCAGGCAGAACTGATGAACAGAGAAGTGCAGCACCTGCTTCGGCATTATATCAAGCCAAGTCAGGATGGATGGGACGATAAATTACCTTTCGTCGCCAGCCTGTACAACAACGCTGTGCACAGCAGTACTGGTACGACTCCAAACCAACTGCATCTTGGTTGGAAGCCCATATCCACACTCGATTTCTTGTTACCTGAGAACCAGCCATCTGCAGCACCCGGCAGCATAGAGTTTGCCATAAAGTACGAACAGATGCTACAGCAGGCTGTAGAACACATAAAGAAAGCTCAAGATGCCATGGTTGCATCTGAGAACAGACGCAGACGGCCATCTGACTTTCAGGTAGGTGAACGAGTGTGGGTTAAATCATCTGAACTCAGTCAGGAGTTGGGAATCTCGCGAAAACTAATGCCTCAGTATTTCGGTCCATGGGAGGTCCTAGATATAGTTGGGGATCAGATAAACGGACCTTCCTATGTGATTCGCATCCCGTCTCACTTGTGCACACACCCAGTCTTTCATGCCTCCAAGCTGGCACCTTTCGCGGAAACTGCACAGTTCCTTCCGGGCAAATGCTGCCCCCAACCATGGACGGTTAAGTCGACATTGATGACATTGTGGAGCACAGAGTGATGCCAGTGCCTAAATCTCCCGGCAGAGGCCGACGTCCAAAGCCAAGGATGCAGTACCGGGTCAGATTCAGACATCATACTGATCCCAGCGAAGATTGGTGGTTTACCAGAGAGGAACTGCAACGCTCCCCAAGTGATTGCAGGATATGAAAGAAGACTTGAAAGGGAAGATGCCTGCAAATTGAAGAACTTCTCAGGGGATTGAAGTAAAGGAGGAGGGAATGCGAGGATTTGGCTCCTCTGCAGGCCTAAGGGCCCCATTTTTGGCATGTGCCCGCCCTAAGTGAAGGTGGACCTCATGAAATCACGAGGGGCCCTTGCTGTCAATTTGGTATTTGGGGTTCAGGCAGTTGCGTCACGTCAGTTGTTTGAAGGAACCCAGGCCACGGCCAGCCAAACCTTGCTTCGGCCTTCCAGGCCTTTCTTCGAAGCAGGCCCTGGGCCGCATCTGCAGCAGTATACACGACAGGCAGTTGGGAGGCGTAACCAAACGGGGCCCAGGGCAGTAGGAGCAGAGGCCCAGCTCCGGGGGCCTACTGGAAGCTTCTGGGCACAGGCCCAGCCCAGCCCAGCCCAGCCAGGCAGCGCACAGGCCAGACTCTTTCCGTATAGGAAAGAGCTCGCTGCCTGGCCGGTCATTCAGGCACTTGCAACTCGTGCGGCAGTGCTGCTTGAGCCTGCGCTCGCGTGCCGTGTGCTGCCACGCACGTGCAGTCGTGTGAGGAAGTGCGCTGCTGTGGGCAGCACCATAGCTCGGCTTCATAGCCGGCTGGGCTTGGGTACACAGCAAGGGGGTAGTGGTGGTCTTTGTGCATGAAGGAGAAGATGTGGGTGAAAGACAAGGGAGACAGTACGAGAGAGAGATGAGGAGGATGACGCGAGGGCTCATACCTGGTTATGGCGATAGTCTGCAAGTGGCGACATCTTCATGTACTTCGGTGGCTGCTGGCATCAACAGTTGCATTGTCAATTCGTAGGCAGATAGTAGCTGTGTAGGAGTAGTCTGGGCGCCGAGCGCCAAGTAGGGGGAAGGGCCTGGACACTTATGTTGGTGCTATGCTGCTTTCTGGACACTGTGGGACTTTCTGGCTTTCAATGTGATTGTGTGCAATTTGGAGTCTGTCATCTCGCTATTGCTCAAATTCCTTGCAAAGGGGAAGGGGGTTGCCTTAATCTGATTCTGTTGTTTCTCTTTTTATCTTCAATTCCGTGAGGAATTCTTATGTGAACCTCAGCCAAAAGTCGTTTGTATTGCAGTTCTAGTACTGTTCTACACAGCATAAATCGATTTTCTAGAATTTTTGAATTTTGTTTGCTTTTTTTTTTCTGGCGCTGAGGCTGCCCGGAGCCCTGCCCGAGGTTCATGCCCAGCCGGGCACCTGGGTGAGTATCCGGGCACAAGTTCAGTGTCTGGGTACCCGGACAAACAGGATTTAGCAAAGCAAACAGGGTTGCATACCCGCCAACCGCCTACCCCAATCGCCGACTGTTTTGCAGCGTATTGGTAGGGCCGACTGGGTTGGCGGTCTGCCGACCAGTCGGTAAACAGTCATCCACTGTTTTGTTTCTTAAAGTCTGCTATGGGGCTGTACTGCACTTGCGGAGTACAGCCCAAATCCTCTGACAAACTTTTGGGCATGGGGGGGGTAGGGGGGTAGGGGGGTAGGGGGGGTATAGGGGATATTGGGGCGCTGTATGAGGGTGTTAGAGGGCGGTTTGGGGGTGTTGGGGGGGTGTATGGTGGTGTTGGTGGAGTTATTCGGGGTTATGGCCTTTGGGACTTATTTTGGATCAGATAACTGGTTGTTGTTCACTCGTTGGGATTTTTATTGGGGGTGCGTATGAGGGTGTTGGGGGGCGGTTTGCGGGTGTATGGTGGTGTTGGTGGAGTTATTCGGGGTTATGGCCTTTGGGACTTATTTTGGATTAGATAACTGATTATTGTGTACCCGTTGGGATTTTTATTGAGGGGGCGTATGAGGGTGTTGGGGGGTGGTTTGGGGGTGTTGAGGGGGTGTATGGTGGTGTTGGAGGAGTTATTTGGGGTTATGGCCTTTGGGACTTGTTTGGATTTGTCTATTTATTCGTATTGAAAGAGATGTATAAGAAGTTATTAAGAACCAACTACGATTGTTGTGTATTTACTTAGATTTCGATTTATTCATCTCGGGAGAGACTTGATGAATCCCCACTACCAGCGTGGTGGAAAGTGGCTCGTGCTTCCATTCGTTTCTATGTATCTTTGGCCTTGCTTTTCAAAGTTTTCTTCATTCTTGCTACATGGGGCCAAAGGGGGGTTGCTTTTCAAAGCTTTCTTCGTTCTTGCTATGTGGGGCCAAAGGGTGGTAAAGAATGAGTAAAACCATGCATGGAAAATCCATGGGTGAGTTGTGGAAGTATTGTCGTTTTTCGGCAAAAAAAAAAGAAAAAAAAAAAAAGAAAGGATTTTACAATTGTTACTGCGTTTTCTGTTTCGTTGTCTTGTATTTGCTTCCTGATCTTTGTTTCTTCTGTTGTTTGTTTTCCTTCAGGTAAAGATGGTGCGTGTGACACAGAGAGTTCTGGACACTTACCACGCCTGTGTATGTCTTGGGAAGGTATGTGCAGTCGATGACTGTCCGACCGTCCGTATGCACCCTCATTGAGGCTTAGTTATCTACAATTGGGCCGGCAATCACCATCATCACGTGTGAATGTTCATGATTCCCTTTTTCTCGGTTGATCAAATTTATTGAAATTTTGAAGGTTAATAACTTCATACACAACGTTTTCCCAAATCTGGTTGTCACCGTGTTTCTGCATTGTTGCAACTTGTCATCTCGTTGTCGTCCTCGTCTTTGTTGCCCTGCTTTTCTGGGCTTGGGTACCCATTTTACAGCCACGATGAAAGGGGTGGTGTTGCCTCTGAATGTGAGGACTGTGAAGTTGTGTAATCGTGTCTTTATATTATCTACATGGACAGGTCACAGCGTCACGAGTCGTGGAAGGAGGTGGTCAAGGGGGGGGAGGCTGGGCATGGTGACGGAGCAGGTCTGAAGAGGGAGGAGATGAAGATTGTGAAAGCTAAGGCAAGAGGAAGTGATTTGGGCATGCGGAGGGAGGAGGTTTCAGCAAGGCGTGCGAGGAAGTCTAGGTAAGATGAGGGAAGATGTTTGGGCCGAGGTATTGGCCAAGCTGAAGGCAAGGGAGGAGGGAGAAAGTTTGGATGCTGGGTGAACGGAGGGGTTGAGAAGACAAGGGGGGAGGTTCTCAAGCAAGCAAGCGAGTGTGGACCTGGTTTCGCTGATTGTACTATGAGGAGGGTTGTTTGGACAAGCGAAGGGGTTCAACGAAGAGGAGGGAGGGGGGGGGGGAGAGGCAAAGGTTTGTACTGGGGAAAGGGGAGGTTTGGGCAAGGCCAAGCGAGAGGAAATAGGACAAGCGAGTGGGAAGGTGTGCACACAGTCACGGGAATGTTGCAGCGTGTTGGCAGTATAAAGGTGACTGTGAAGTTTCACAAGTGGTGAGGAAGAAAATGAGAAGTAGAGGGAGGAGGAGGAGATATGCACGAGGGAAGTAGGAGGTTGAGACTGGGTGAGGGGGAAGGCGGTTACAAGGCGAGAGGGGGGTTGGGGCATGTCGAGGGAGAAGGTCGGGACAGGGTAAGGGAGGAGCTCGGACAAAGCGGAGGGAGGAGGCTCTAATAAGCGCACAAGCCCACTGGACTTAACAGAAGAAGTTGTTCACAAGGACACCCAGATTTACAAGATAAAATCTGAGTATGATTATGCCCTCAGAAAGTTACACAAGGAGAATCGGCCTCCTGTTTGTTATGAAGGCAGTTGCCAATCTTCCGTGTAAATGACGCATATCCAACCCCCCAGATCCAGGTCCTGTGGCCAGCAGTACTCCTTTCCCCCTTTTCATTTTCAACTTTCTTTTTCAACGGTATTATGGGTATACGGTATACCCCCCTAAACCATCGAATCATCTGATTCGATTCGGATTCAAACTCATAATCTGTTTAAAGCAGTTACATCTGTTTACTGTTCACGCACATTGGCCGGGTCGGGAAACGCTGTATCTTACGTGCATTTGTACTCAGATCCTTACTTGCATTTGCACTTTTTTGTTCCTCTTGCAATCAGACTCGACTTATTCACACTTCGTCATGCATGCAAACAGCGATACAGCAAACTGGCGACATGCGCCCACACAGTACTCAAAGATATCGTGACCAGATAAGAGTTCTCTTCCAACTGGCTATGGCGACTGTGCGCCCACACAACTCACTGTTCGCACTCTGGGTCACCCTGGATGTCCCACACGCAACACTCAGTATCCATACGCAACACGCACACACACTATGCTACAGCTATGGCAGCGCTAGCTGCCACGACCCTATCGCTACACTACGCTTCTCTGCCCACTTCGTCTTCGGGCACACTGCAGACCTCCTCGCACAAGCTGCTGAGGCAGCGCTTCCGCATGGAATCCGCAGGAATGAATGAATGGCTGGACGCAGCCTCTTGATTTATACTTCTGCGCTGCGTTGGTCTGCCCTGTGTCCCTTGGCCCTTGGTGCACACAGTCCCAGACGGTACTTGCTGGACAGGAGCGGACTGCTTAACTGGGACTGTTGACTCAGCGAGGTGGCCTACCACCACTTGACCACTTGCCTCTGTTCAACGCAGGCTCACTCCGAAAGGCCACTTCTAGAACCCTCTGACTTGGCCTTTCGGTACTGTAGCAGCTATGACTTTGCCCCTTCAGGTAAGTAGAAGCTACGACCTTGACCCTTCAGGCATCCTACAGCTACGACTTCGGAACTGTCTAGACTCCTACTCTACAGGTCTACAGTTCGATTCCCTTCTACCCTGTGACCTACGACAACCTACCTACCACTGGCGTTCCTACAGGTCGCAGGTTCAAATCTGTGGGTTGACATCAATACTGTACACAGGTAAGATGGGGAACTAGGGATCGAGCCCTGGGATCTGCATTCGCTACTGCGAACTGGTGAATACCGTTTCACTCTGTGTTTTGGCCGGGATTCGAACTCCTGATCTGTTTAGAGCAGTGGTGTGTTTACCACACAGCCACATTGGCTGGGTTGGGAAACACTATATCTTGCTTGCATTTGTACTCGGAGCCTTCCCCAGTACCTCTGCCAGTGTTGGCAAATTACAATGCAATGGTCTGTCCCCGAAGAAATCGGTGGTGGGACCCAGGGTCGGCGAGTCCCATAAATTTTAGTTTTCTTTTGCCCGCGCGTGAAAGAAAAAGTAAAAAAGAAAAACCTTATGTACTGCAATGATGTCGGGCAGGGTAGTCTAGTAGGCCATGCTCAGTCTTCCTCTACAGAATGCATCCTACAGCAAAAGACGGTCACATTATGAGACTTGTTGTTTTCTTTTTTTTTTTCTTCGTTTGTTTATTATGAGTCCGCTGCCAACGAGGCAGGGCCGAATCCGTGATCTGCGCGGGCTGTGTTTCCTCAGAGGATTGTAACCCTGATGTATCCAGCCATTTTCACGGCCGAATCCGTGTTTCCGTTTCTTTTTTTTTCTTTTTTCTTTTTCTGGAATCTGACAATCTGAATCTGTGATCTGCCTGGGCTATGTTCTCTCAGAGGATTGTAACCCTCATCACACTGGCACTTAGAGGAACGTATCCAGCCATTTTCACGGCCGAATACGTGTTTCTGTTTTTTTTTTTTGTGTGTGTTTTGGAATCTGACAACCTGGCCACGGGGCTGAGATGCCCTCACTGAGGGCACACTCACACTACCACTTCCAAGAATGAATACAACTGCAATCACGGCCAGAGCATTGTTTCCGTTTCGTTTTTTGTGAGTTTCACGGCCGCAACTTTTCTTTTTTTTTTCCCTTTTTTTTTTTTTCTCCCCGTGAGAGTACCATAAAGAAATGGAGTGGGACCCAGGCTCGGCAAACTCGGAGCGCAGTGAAATTCAGGGTCGGCAAAAACAGGCTCGGAGGTACTGGTGGTTTGCACTTTTATGTTATTAGTCTCAACGAGTATTCGGTTTGTTTTTTAACGACTTTTTCAAGACTTCAAGTGCCTGAGGACTTCAAGGTTTCATCTGCAGGACACTCGATACACAGCAGCATAGAGAAGTGAGCCGACTTGTGCAACATAACTGGGGCAACACTATGCCGGCCGGTCGGGCACAGTGTGTCCGGGGTGCTGGAGAAGCCTGTATCTGTCGGAAGAGCGTGTTGAAGGTGGCTTGTCTTTTTCCTTGCAACTTCTGGGGACTTTCTGAACAGGCGATGTTTTGGGCGATGTTTTGTCTGTATGTTGTGTGAATGAAAAACTCTGACCAGAATTTTGCTCTGATGTCGGTTTGTGATGTTGGTTGGAACTCTATGAAATCTGGCCACTATTTCAGCCTGGGCAGAGCGAGATGGTGATGGTGGATGCACGACCGTCAGATGCGATAAATCTGGCCATTCGTTGCAAGGTATGGTGGGATATTGATGGGTATATTCATGATCAAGAATGGTACTTGATGGGCATACTTGTACTGGGACTTCATGGATGAATTGGCCTGCGACAATGGTTGAATTCAGTCATGGAAGTCACAGTGCGAGTACGGTCCTGTTGCTGCAGCTGGTCTAGAAACATGCCAGGATGAGAGGGGGAGGGGCAAGTGGAGGGGTCAAAGCTCATTAGAGGAATTTGGAGACTTTAGAAAGCATGTCCTCTTGTTGACCCTGCAAGCTGACTGCGCTGAACTTTTAAACCACCACTCAAACCGCCCAATCACTGTAGATTGTACTCGGTGACAAGTACTGTGGCTGAACCTACAGTGAATAGGCTTGGGAGAGGCTAGGAGCGAAGGGGCAGATGGGCCTTGAGGTGGGTTATACAAAGTGCTTTTAAACCACCACTCCAACCGCCCCGTCACTGTCGATTGTACTCGGTGGCAAGTACTCTGGCTGAACCTACAGTGAATAGGCTTGGGAGGGGCAGATGGGCCTTGAGATGAGTTATACAAAGTGCAGCTTCCAGGTCCTTTCTATGGGCGAGCAGCAGCAATCTGGAAACTTGCGGCAGAGGGTGGGAATTGTGCTGCCAAAAAAAAAGAAAATAAAACAGACGAGACACATACTCGACTCTGAGCCATACAATCAGATGCGCCCTGCCGCGCTGGCAGGGAAAGAGGAAAAACCAAAGAAAAAAGAAAACTGCAGAAGATTGAGCATTATGCCCTTGCTCCACTGCAAAACATCCAAAATGCATCTGGAGGTCCGAATGTATCTGGTCGATAAACAGTCCATCCACGTGTCGAAGATTGAGTAGTGGAGCGAGACCCTTATTAGCACCAACTCAGGTGGCAACGACCTTATGAATCCTCGACGTTTACTCTGCAAACAAGGAAATCTGCTGTCAATATGGCTTTCCAAAAAAAAAAAAAAGGAGAAAAACTTGAAAAAGGGAAGTATGGGGATAAATGCCCCTCGGTGTTGTCAGGCGCTCTCCGCCTCCTGCCGTCGGAGGCGTTGGGAAAAAACACGAATCCCGACTGGGCATGATTACAGTCAGATTCGTCCAGGTCGGGCTGTAGTTGAAGTCAGATGCCATGAGGAAATTGGGCGTGGGAGTATGTTCTCAGAATATGCTCCACTAGTCCCATCTGGATGCAAGCTCATGTCTCTATCTCTACAGTTCATGGGTCTCTCAACTGAGGGCATACACACACTAGCATTTTCCAAAATGCATCTGACTGCAATTGTGGCCAGATCTGGACGAATCTGACTGCAATCACGTCCAGAGTTTCGTAGAAAACTTCCTAGGGTGATTACCCCGTGAACCAGGCTCGTTAGTTGTATTTGTTTTCCTTTTTCCCTTTTACTCAGTTTACTGCTTTTTGTCTTTGCTGTATTTGGTAAGTGGTGCTTAAGTCACGTATCTATTCAAATCCGAGTGTATATTGTTTTTTGTTCTATTTTTTTTTTTTCCGCCTGTATCTAGCGCCACTCTAGGCTAGATACAGGGGATGGCTTGGTGCAGAGTTTGGCTGCGGTGCCACATGATTGAAGGTGGTTGGCTGTTCCCAAGCGCATGCACTGTGATTTTTTTTTTTTTTTTTTTTTTTTTTTTTTTTTTTTTTTTTTTTTTTNTGGACTACCGGGATTCATCCAGGCAGTGAGGGGCAGCGTTCCGAATTCAAAACTTCAAAAACAAACTAACTTCAGCTGCCCCCCCTTTTTTTTTTTTTTTTTTTTTTTTTTTTTTTTTTTTTTTTTTTTTTTTTTTTTGTGGTTCATTTCTCGATTTATGTTGGCGTCCTTGTGCAGGGGCCGTGTTAATCTTCTCTGTATTGTTTTAGCAGATGGCACGAAGGACCGTGCACTGTGCATTTCAGTCTCGGGAAAATGGGTTTTATGGTTCGTCAATTTAGCTTCCGATGGACTGGTGGTTTAAGAAATTCCTTTCTATCTGTGATCCTTAATGACATGAAGATCGTGTTTCAATGAGACAAGGAATGCCTGTTCGTGTCTGATAGTGCAAAGAAGAATAGTCACGTTTGGCCCGCTTCGTTCTTCGATATGTGATCTTTTTTCCTTCATTTTCAGCACAGCTTTCCAATGTACAAAGTTACTACAAACCAACGGATGTGAGAATTCATTGTCTCGAATCCCACGAACACGGACTTGGAGGCAACGGGGACATCAATCGGAATGAGCTGAGCCTGTTAAAGAATTAGATCGGCAATTCTCCCTGTTGAACATGGTGCACAGGGAGGTTTGCCAGTTGCCTCGGAGTTACCCCCCCTCAGCATGCATGCCTCCAACTTTCCTGCAGCTCGATTTCATCCATATTTATGGCCCTGTCGCGTACATAGTTGCGCATCCTTGCCTTGACTTGGGGGGCTTGTACAGAGGGAAGGCCTCTCTCCTCTTGCCCTGCCGCAGCCAATTTATGCGTTTGGTGATGCCTGTCACTGCATTGTTTGAATTTTGTGGGTGGTTCCTGCGATGCGCTGGGGCCTTAAACCACCAGTACATGGCCCCAGCCAAGTTGAGAATCTGGTGCAGCCTCTCCTAAAACTTCGGAGGCTTGCGTGCCGTTGATAAAATAAGTCGGCGGCAGGCAGCCTCCGAAAGGGGCCCACAGCCAATGGCTGGCATGTACGGTTCTTTTAGTGCTGTATTGTGTCCACCGAGTATACCATGGTGGAGTGCGGAAGCACGAGTTTACTTACAAAGGTGCCTCCTGCCGTAACTGTTTTTTGATGCAAGCCTTGCTCTTCTGCGGAAACACGGCACATAGAAAAGATGAAGTCTGATGATTGCTATCGGTCACTAACTGTAGTGTCAGGTGTTAGTTGAGCACAAGCTTAGGATGTGATGACCCTGTTTTTCAATTCAGTGAAGAGAAGTGATAATATTCAGGGAGTTCATTTGTTCGTGCAGCTGTTGACATGCCGTGCTCCCCTCTGATGATCAGGCGAGAAAGGGCGGGCTCTGATGGAAGTTGTTTGCTTTGTGTATGCTTGTGCGTTTATGGGATGTACATGGGAACAACGAGTTGCTGGGAGGGATTGGGGGTGGGGAAAGGGGGGTGGGTAGGTGGGTGGGTGTGGATGTGGTGGTCAATTTCGGTGGAATTTGGGGGCGGGTGGGAGGGGCTTGCAGGTACCCATCTATGTAAATAGAGGAATTGTGTTGGCGGATGGCGTCAGGATGGTCTATGCCCCATCTTGTCCCAGAGCAGACACTATGTTGCGGTCTTCGGACGGTGGGAACACTGACAGGTATGCGGTGAATCTGAGAGTTGTTTGTGACAGCATACTCTAACAAAGCACTTCATATGAGCATATGCCCTTACTCTCTTCAATTTGCTTAGTTGTTTCCTGTTTTTCTGAGTCTAACAAAAGAGGAGAAGGGTGCTCTGATCTTAATTGGCCTTCCCTCGCTATCTGCTTCTTCACCCAGCCTATAACTTGTCCACAAAAACTTTCAGCTCGAGGGGTGGCCGTAAGATCATGCACTGTTATCAACACGTCCTGTATATAGCTCTCAACGTGTGCAATCTCTAACCCATATTAAAAGAGTAGATGTACTATTTGTGGGGAAGCACGCGAATGTCCGCTGTCTGTTATACGGCTTGCCTGCCATCGAATCTAAGTGGTAATGTTGAAATCAGATTTTGTTATACGGCTTGCCTGCCATCGAATCTAAGTGGTAATGTTGAAATCAGAACGGCAAATAATGACTGTATTGGAATTGATCACCCGTTTAAATGGGACAGGTGACTAGACCAAATGAAGTACCTGTTTGAGCTTCATACTAGGGGCATATGGATTACCCTCAACTGGCATTAGTAGAGGAAAGAAAGCATGCAATAAACGTGCATTCACATAGGCTCAAAGAGCTCGGAGAACAGGATCTGATGCAGTGGCTGGCGCAATAATAGAATATTTCAAAGCACCCGCTTCCGAAAGAATTTTCACTGATTGTCTTACGGTCGAACGGCACTGAACTTCTGACCAATTGCTACATAAACACAATACAGCTCTTCTTCACCTTGTGCATTGATCTGCTTCTGATTCAATATCTAGTATGAATAGCTATAGCAGTCTGTGTCTTGTGATTTATATTCCTGGGGAGATGTCTGCAATGCTGGTCTTCGTGCCTTGAGCTGTGATGCAAGCCTCTTGGCGCTTGTACAAGTTTAGGCATGATTGGAAATTAGAACTTGCCCAGCGGATTAGCTCAGTTAGTAGAGCACGTAAGTGGCAGTCAAGAGGGTGTGGGTTCAATGCTGTGTCCTTCAATTGGCTCCCCATGCCCTCCTGTGGCGGGCTTCGGGTTCACCAGCGGAGAGAGACAGCCCCCTCTGGTTGGTCTTGAAGGTGCCTGTTCCTTTCAGGCCTTGCTGGGGGTTAGAGATAGCCTGGGTACCACTCCCTGCCCAGAGTAGAGTAGATAGGCTTTAGCCGCAAGGATATAGAAAGTTTCAACAGAAAGTTTCAACCCATAACTCGTAGTGTAGCTTAGTGTCACCTGGTAGATATAAGGGCTTAGTGTAGCTGTCACCTGCAGTCTTCCCTTACTATCGAGTGCGAAGTGGGTCCTGGTCAGGTTGCCGTGCCTCTTGCAGGTCAGGTTGGTGGATAAGACCGGTTCGAGTACACAGCTAGTGGTAGGTAGTGTGAGATGAAAAAAATAAGACGAGAAGAAAAATAGCGTAGTAAAAATGCAGCTGCCCTCCATATGACGAGAAGACGGTCTGTTTATAAATTTTGGAAAAAAAAAAAAGGACTTAATACTCACAGTCAGTTTTGCAGATACCCAAACGCACATGGATGCGAGTGTGTCCGGGTGCGTGATTGGTGCCAGGATGTGCAGATGCCATCCTGACACTGGGAGCATGGATGGAATCAAGTTGGGATTGATGGCATTTGTGGAATTTTATATGCAATAAGTGGAAATCACACATCTTTTTGCTTGGACAAAATGAAATCTGCTGCATGCTGTGTTGAGCTTGGAACCATGCCGTCTTGCCCCAGACGTAATGCATGGTCATTATAGCTGTACTTTACGTCTGACTGATCTGGCTGCCCTTTGTTTACCCTTGCGTGCAATGAGCCTTACGTCTGACTGATCTGGCTGATCAAGAGGTAATTTAAGGACAGCCCCCGAGAGTCCTCAGGAATTCTTTAATGTCGCAATCAGGACGATGATCACAGCCAGTGTTCAGTTCAGACCCCAACCAGAAATGTTTATAGACTGTCTGGGAGCGTCTCCGTAGGACTGGTCAGTCCGCACACCCCTTCTATCAGCGCAGCAAAGAGCCTCAATGGACAAAGCAGCATGGCCTGCGTGTACTACTCCCATGGGTTGGCATGGTGACCGTGACCCGTGCTTCGACCAGGGCCCTTCAGAGGCACCGCCCTCTCCTGCCAGATGAGCCACCGGGAAGAATGTAGTCTCTCAAGGTAGAGCGCACACACGACTCCTCACCAAAGAGAGGACACTCAAGTGGGACTCACTTCCTCACGGTAGATAAGGAATGGGAACAACATACCTGGAGATAGCTGCCCCCAACCACAGATTTCTCACCAATTGGGCCGGTGTTACATGCTGAGAGCCTCCACACAGGCCCCTCACGGGACCCGAGGTTGGATAAGGGCCCCCAGGTCGCGTCACCGCAACCTGGAGGCCCTATGGCCATTTCACTTAGGCCTGCATCGGAAAGACTTCAACTTTAAGTTGATTTCTTATTTATTTATTTACTGATGTGTTTTTACTAATGTGCTGTTGTCCGTTTTGTGGCCAGGTACACAGTTAGGACCAGGGCCGGAATCAGGCCCAGAGGCTGAGCCTCTAATTCA